GGGAAGTAAATGACTATTGACATTTGGAATATCATGTTTTAGAGAATGAGTGCAGCATTTAACTCTCCTATGAGATCTCGTATGTTCTCAGATGGAGTGCTTCATTATGGAATTGTCATTAACCACTCTGTAGTTAAGAATGCTTTGAGTTTTGCAGCTGAAGTGAGCGTTCAGTCTCACTGTTAAGAATAAAAAAAAGCATCTTCATGAAATGAATTCCCTTGATTTTGTTAGAAATAAGTAAGCACCTTAAGAGTGAGTACAAATATTAGCAGCCATTATGTGTTTTTCATTTCTAATAGGGCTGTTAACTGTTCATTACAGAAGTCATGGAAAGAAAGATAAGCAGTGTGCATGTTCTATTAAGTGCAAGAGTACTCATCGTGCGTGGTCATTGCTCCAGTTACATGTGGATAAGTGAACTGTACATAAACGTTGTAGTTCTTTTAGATCAGCCATTATTTCAAAACTATCCAAAGTGCCTCCTGACAGTGGAAGTATTATGGTGATTTTATACCACTGAGAAATCTGTGAAATTTAGCTTAATTTCTGACTATCACATTTTAACTAACCTCTCCACTCTGCTCAGAATATCCTCAGTGTACCTAATTAGGTGTCTTACATTTTTCTGTAGACTAACACGCAAATGAAGAGCAATACGCAGCAAGACAGAATAGTGAAATTTCTCGGATATCTTCCTAGCTGTGATACAAAATTAAGTTTTTCAGGTGACCATATACTATTTTTAAAATTACGTACCTCTTAGGAGGATCAGACTGAAAATAATTACTTGATTTTCCCATTTTTCCTAGATATTTGCACCCTTTAAAATACATTCAGTTGATTGTTGTGATGGTTTGTGGAAGTGATGGTTAAGGTCAGCTTATCCTGGGACCATGTTTCCTGAAGTCATGGGAGGATTCCACAATAGCTTTGTGGTACAGTTTTGCTTTGCTTTGAGAGCAGGAAAGCATTTGATAAACAGTGTTTTCCTGATGATTTGATACATGGAAATGACAAGGAATTGGGTTGCAAGGGCTCCCTCCTAAGAGCAGGTGTGTGGCTGCTGCACACATGAATTTTGATCTCTGAGGTTTCCTTCTTCCAATACAGGAAACGTGGCAGAACATTTGTGAAAGTGTTGTGATTTGTGGACATAACATCACATGAAAACTTTATAGCAGCAACATGAAACAAAGCTAATCCTCTGGATCAATATTCAATATTGTTTTCACTACGCTACACATCCTACTTTTTCCTTCTTCATTCATTGTATGTGCTACAGTTCTCCTTGAGCAGAGTCTGGAGTAGTACTGTTATCACATAAGCGAAGATTGAATCCTAGCCCTATGCACAGGAAGACTGAATTAAGGTTACATGGTCATGAGCATTCATGGATATTGCTGGCTTTTGTGGGGTGGACTTTGCAAAACATAATTCTCCATATCAGTAAACAAATGAACGTTTTTATTCCGTTTTGTGGATTTGTGTTGTACCTGTGTAATTCGGTAATCAGCAGGACAGCTGAGATTGCTGTAGAATAAAGCACGAGCAAGCCTCAAAACAGAGAGTGGGGCACAAACAGCTCTGCTCTTCTCCTTCCCACTTAGGAAATAGAACATGAAGAGAATTTGCATCTTCTCATTTCCACCTAGACAAAGCAGGTCGTGGCATAGAGCTGAAGCTTCTTTACTGTCTTTTCTCCCTTTGGGACAAAAGCTTCATCACATAGGCTCATTGATCCTAGCAGCAAGCAGCAAGAATTATTTCTGCACAGTAATCAGAAGAAGAGCAGCGCTGTGTTTGCATTCTTCTGGTTTGCCCATACTGCTGCTAAGCTGGTGCTGGGCCTGGCATGTCAGGACAGCAGCTGTAGCCCAGAGGCAAACTGTGAGCACAGGGATTGAAGGTCGACCCTTTGCCATTTGTTTTTTTTTTTTAATTTTAAGTTATAATAAATAACGTTTCTTGTACTTTAATATTGTTTTTGCCTGGAAACTTTAAGAATATGAGGTGAGGAAAAATAAGAAGAAACAGTTACTTCTTTTAAAATAAGACTTAGTGGAAGTCTGAAATATTTTCAGACCCCGAATGTATGAATGCATGCTATTGAATTGATTTAAATATCACTAACTAAAGGACTTTCAAGGTAAATAGTTTATAAAGCATGAACAGGATGTTCCCTAGTACAGGTTCTTTCCTCTGGAATTTGTTCATGCCAGAAACGCATTGAGCCCAGTCACATCTCAGAAAAAGCATGCTCCTTTTGTTCCAGCCTTTCACCAGCTGCCGGCTCCAAAATCTTTGCTTTGCAGTTCGCTGGCAGTGTTTTCTTTTGTCTCTGTCCTTCAGAATTTCATTGTTCTGCAGAATCCTGCTACATTCATTCCATATACTTGGAAAACGTTACAACTTTTAGTCTAAGCCAGACATTACAAAATTGCCCAGCTAATGCACTACAGCGATTCAGCACTCTCAGCAATAATTAATAATGCTTTTGTTGCCGTAACCCAGCTGGATGGTGCCTGGGTTTGAGCAATATCTACAAGGGGCCATCTGTACCCAGTTTTCATGAGAATGAGCTTCCTTGAGGTACAGTTTATGAATGACTAAGTCTGGGTGCAACTAAGATGAACAAATAATTTGTGTGCCAACAAAACCTACAACTGCTAATGAACATTGCCTTTTAATGCCAAATTTGTCAAATGGTCACCAGTTTTTGGGGCAAGAAAATAAAGAAGTGACATGTAATATCAGCTGCTTACTTTTAAAATGTCAACATCTTTAGGCTTGTGACAAAATAGGAGAGTTGACCATCTCATATTTTTCCAGCTACCAAAATCCTACCTGTAATTCCTGATTCCATTTCCCCGTTTGCTGCTTCCTTGATCAACTGTAGATGTTTCTGACATTTCAGAAACCTGAAATTGAAATATTAGGTAATCACAAATCAAATCTCATTGGTTCTCTGACTCTATAAGCAACGCTACACTGATTCTATTATTCTTTGCAGCAAATGAAATTTCTTCCTCCTGCCTTTTTAAGCATTAGCCACAATTTCTGGTGGAATTTCTACTTTGAAATCTCAGAGTGCAACAAATACAAAGGGCTTTTCAATCAGATGCAACTTCTATAAATATGTGAACACTTGATTACAGAACATTTGTCATGACAACATTAACCATGACAACATTTAAAGTTTTTCCCTCTGTTTTTATATTGATTCACAGTCAGGTGTCGCTGTCTTTAGAGGAGACTCGTTTTCATTAGAGGAAAAGATACCACTTAAGGCCAGATTTTTATCTCTTATTTTCAAACTAACTTGAGGACCTCTAGAAGGATGTGCTCTCTGCTCCTGTTCTCAAGCAGCTCTGGAGTTTCTCACTTCAGAGTACAATTCCTCTTTGACCCCATTTCCACTAGGACTTGCTGTCCCAGGAATAATCAGACTTCGGGAGCTGGCGTATGCCAACAGGAAAGGCTAATGCTCATCTAAGTGCTGTACAATGCCCTGCAACAATGCATTGTGCAAAGACTGAAACGGAAGGAAACAGCAGATTCTACATCTGCTGATCCAGTTTCCTAGCTTTTGTTTATGCTTAAGAGGACCGTGCATTTTCAGTTGACCTGTGCTACTTGCAGCTTTTTGGGAGCTTCCAATCTTGTTAAAGAGCCCGTCTGTCAAAAGGCTTTCTCTGTGCAGTTTTTCCCTTACCAAGTGGTGAAACTTTGGGATGTAATCAGCTGTATCTTATTCAGTATGACAGCAATGAAACCATTTAAGCCATTGATGCAAATCAAATGTGATCTTAATGCTATTCCTAAACAGAAACACCCTCAGCAACTCCAGAAACCAAGGACTCATTTGATCAGATGCAAAACAAGTACATCCCCTTTGTATATTTATGAGGATTTGTTTACTATTATTAGTACAGTCATGAAGTCAGTACCTGAGTAGAATTTCATCTCCTTCCTGTCGCAAACTCAAAGTAGTTAATGGCTACGTAGCTACTGCCTCTGGTTATCAGCCAGGCACTGTTTTGTTACTTCTCTGAAAAGTGCTTCGCTTGCTCTGCTCTAAAAACAAAAACAAAAAAAAACCAACTGAAAAAAGAAAGTCTTAAAAGAGCTCATTTATCTGAGAGGTCAGAAGTGAGAACTTATTGGATTGGAAGTAGTAGTGCAGCTATGCAGGTGTGGATTCTTCACACCACTCTCATGGCCAAACCAGAAGTTAAAAGCATATAATCATCTCCAGTAATATTCCACCCAAAATTAAGTGGAACGATTAATGAAATAATCTGTTTAATTTTTAAAACTTAAAAAAAAAAAAGTTAATTTTCCGTGGTTGCTGTGAGGACAATAATTGTACTGTGTCAGTTCATGCTCTTTTCTCTTTTTCTGGTTTACACTGCAGTTTTTGGTCAGTTTAGGATATAAATGTTGTCACTGATACTATGAATTTATTTATTTCATTAGCTCTACAGGACTTCTATTCTTCAACTGTACAGAGACCTATCACCTTTCCCTAAATAAGCTGTCTTCTCTTTCCTCCGTTCATCTATTTGTGTAGTATATATAAATCTCATATTTTGTCTTTCTTTTCTTCATGCTAAATTATTAAATTTTAATTTAAAAATATCAGTTGAGAATGAGATAAATATAGCTGATTTATTTAGCTTAAAATTATATCTTACAGTGTTAATAAAACCATTAAAGATTTTTACTCACTGGGATTTTTTTTCCTAGAAATTCTGTGTCTCTTTCTACTTAAGGTTAGTTTGAATGTGTAAAGACCAGGTGGGCTATTTCGTGTTTATACCTTTAGGAGGGAGTGGGGAGTTTAACTCACAATGTGTATCATTTTTCAGGTTGCAACTTAGAAAAGTTTTGCCAGATGCAATTTCTCTGCATGGTTTGCTCTGCAAATTTGCAGTCAGTGTAGATGTAACTATGACTCCTTCCTGACCTCTTCTAACCACCCTACTTTTTGTCTTTAGGTTTGGGTGGATGCTGGTACACAGATATTTTTCTCTTATGCGATATGCCTTGGGTGCCTGACAGCCCTGGGAAGTTACAACAACTATAATAATAACTGCTACAGGTAATAATATATTCTATGCTTTACATTTATTTCCAGTGATGGAAGTTTCCGCAGTGCTTCACTCTGAAGTATTTCCCTTTTCTTTCAACAACTCACATGAGTGATTGGATTCATTTTTTGCAGAACCAGAGACGTGTAACTTGTTTTTTCAGAACTCTTTTCCAGTTTTTGGTTTTTTTTTTCATTCCCTTTGATTACCTCTGACTCCTCTACAGCCACAAGTCACTCAGTACACACATGCTCAACTGTACAGTACACAAAATTTCATAGATGCTTGTGTGCCATATTTCATTGTATAATGTTTATCTGCTCTAAAAAAAATTCCGTGAAGAACAGCTATTAAAACAGTTTGGTCTATTCTGCATGTCAATGTTATCATAGTTTACTGATGCCAAAGTAGAACGCATACGTAGCATGTTATTGCAAGTCTGTATAGATATCAGCAAGGAAATTGATAATGACTTTCAGTAGGTTTTAATCTTATCATGGAATCACCAAGGTTGGAAAAGACCTCTAAGATCATCCAGACCATCCACATTTTACCAATATTTCCCATTAAACCACATCCCTCAGTACATCTAAATGCTTCTTGAGCACCTCCAGGGACTATAACTCTACCACTTCCCTGAGTAATCTGTTCTAGCACCTGGCCATTCTCTTGGAGAAGTATTTCCTAACGTCCAACCTGAATCTTCCCTGCCTCAACTTGACTAACTACATGGGAGAAGAGGCTGACACCCACCTTACCACAACCTCCCTTGAGGTACTGGAAGGCTGCTATAAAGTCCCCCCCAGAACCTTCTTTTCTCCAGGCTGAAGAGCACCAGCTCTCTCATCCTGTCCTCATAAGAGAGGTGTTTCAACTTTCTGATTATTTTTCTGATGATCTCTTCTGCACCTGCTCCAACAGCTCCATTCTTTCTTGTGTTGGGGACCCAGAATTGGACATGGTACTCTTGGTGGGGTCTCACAAGAGCAGAGCAGAGGGGCAGAATCACCTCCCTCGACCTGCTGGTCATGTTTCTCTTGATGCAACTCAGGTACAGTTGGCCTTCTGGGCTGCAAGAGCACATTGCCTGCTCGTGTTGAGTCTGTTATCAACTGACACCCCCAAATCCTTCTCCTCAGGGCTGCTCTCAAGCTATTTTCCACCGAATCTGTATTTGCACTTGGGATTGCCCCTACCCAGGTGCAGGACCTTGCACATCTCCAGACAGAGAACTAAAATTACATTTTTTAATAAATGAAATAAATTGTAAAACAGTTCTAAATCAAAAGAAAAAAAGAAAACTGTGGGAGAACAAATCCCATTGTGAAAATATTTAAATTCTAAATTATAGCTTTACTTGAAGAATTTGAAGCTGGTTTCAGAAAACGTTTTCCTAACAGCAATTTGTGCTTCTGTCAGAGAAACACAGAATAGTAGGATCCAGCAGAGAAAGAGAGATCTGGAAACCACAGCCACACAAATGTATCCACCAGCTGAATGTAAACTCTCCAAAAGCAATTAAGGGTACTCTGCCATCTAAAACACTCAAGTAACTTGTCAGCAAAAGTTATTGTTTTGCATGGCTATGAGTGCCAAACTGCCAGACATCTTGCTGCATTAAATAGTGTAAGTCCCAAACACTTCAAACAGTGTTGATGGACATTACTTTCAGAACAACGATAGAGATGCCTCAAAAGAGAGGAGAGCAACAAATGCTCCTATAGAGCAGTGGGCAATAAGGGCTTTCTCTTTTTTTTTTTTTTTTAACAGCATTAGAGATGCTTTAACTAAGAGTGCTCATTCTCTCAGTTATTTAATTTCTTTTGAGTTGCATCCTATTTAGGAACTACCTTTTTACTGCCTCAAGGACTGCAGTAATGTTTTTTGTGATTGTTTTATAACTTATTGCAAAAATCAGGATTTTTGATTTGTGACCAGAAAGCTTATGTAATTTTATTTCCTCTGACAGCATAGGTTGGCACCCATGTGAAGAAGATTGGCAGCCGCTCATTTTTAAAGCTCCTGAGAATGGTGCTGCAGCAGAATAGTTTTTAATAAATTCAAGCTTTGCAATTCAGTTAACAAAATATTTTCACAAAATTCCTCAATAGGACAGATTTGATGGCATCACAAAATAAGATTCTTCAGAAAACTGAGGAAATGGGTAGGGCAGAAGTTAACTGCAGAAAGAGCTGAGAGAAACTAGGCTGTTAACAGATTAAGACATACAGAGACAGAAAAAAAAATGCTGCCTTTTCTCAAAAAAAGAAAGCAGAATTAAACTTACATCCTAACTACCACTTAAAAAATTAAAATCAGGCCATGGTTTTGCCTCTTGTAGTATGTACAGTTTGTTGTCTGATTGTAGCATACTGCTGCTATTCTGCACCCTGTTCTACTGGAGCACAAAGGTACATTGCAGTGGAAAATGATGATGTTACATATTTTAGTGGGAAAAGGAGTTTTCTTACTAGCAACTTGATCCACATCACTAATATTGTAAATTAATTGCAACCAAGTTAATGCACATTTTTGAGCTGGAAATGAACTTCTATTGTCTTTATTAATCTGTCATTTTAATGCTTTAAGACAGTGAGACAATTACCTGAGGCCAGATCCTCTGTGGATTTACAACAGTTCATATCAACAGTGATTCTTCTGAACAGACAAAAATAGTGGCAGTAAAATCAGCTGGCAGTGCTTTCCACATAGTTTAAATATATATATATATATGTACAGAAGTTTCCTGTAATTTTTAGTAAGCTAAGAAACCCCTAAGGAAAGAATTATCTTCAGACTCTGTAGACAGAAGAGAAAAATGTTCTTGTTCCTGCTTCATGTGCTCTGTATTTATAGAACTGATCCAGCTCCCTGCTGGACACAGAGCAGTTCCCCACCGTCGTACTGGGGACTGTACCTCAGCAACATAATTTTTGCATATAAGCCCTTTCGCAATTCAGGAGTTGGCTTCCTTGCTGCTTGCTGTGGTACAGATGAAAAGTCAGCAATTTCACCTGCTGTTAACAAACTGACAACATTTGAAAGAAAAAGAAAGTGTTCTTGATCAAGCTTCCATTCTAAGATTAAAAGAGTAATGTGAATTTGCCTTTAGAGAATGTGTATAGACAAGGAAGTGACTGCAGGGATGCAGAAAGCTCTACAGACTCTTCTCTCTCATCAGAGAAGCTCCTTAAGGAATGTAGAATGAATTTCCAGCAATATCCAGGCTGTCAGGCAAGGTGAAGATAGAGGGTGGAGTCCCTGAATTATTCAGGTGATTGTCAAGACATTCATTTGGAAGAATGTAAAGTTTTCATAAAAATTTGACTGTTTCCCATCATTTGAAATCCGTTAGGACTTCAGTCTGACTCTGATGCCTTTCTACCAAGGATACTTATTAAAAATTGATGGAAAATTAGATAAACTTTCTTTTCTTTCCACTGGTTGTTGGGCACTTGCTTTCAAAAATTCAGTGGCTTGTTAATCAGTGAATCCAGATTCCCTCTCACTTTTCCTTCCCGGAACAGAAAACGAACAGAAACAAAAAATCAAAACAGAAACAGATGTTAATCTTATGGCTCATTCTATGAATGAAACCCAAGCTCTGGCAACTGCAGTATTTCTTATTTATATTTTCAGAGACTGCATCATGCTCTGCTGCTTGAACAGTGGCACAAGCTTTGTTGCTGGTTTTGCTATCTTTTCAGTGCTTGGATTTATGGCTTATGAACAAGGTGTTCCCATTGCAGAAGTTGCAGAATCAGGTAAGTTCCAAAAGCAGTCTTTTGATTACAGAAGAAAGACCCAGAGTTGTCAGAATAGCTAGTCTGTGTCACATCCTTTGGATAAGTTAACTGTTTTGCAGATATTTTGAAAAGAAATCAAATTAAACACCTGTTACCTCTTAGAATATGTTAGAATAATTCCATGTGAAGAGTTCTTACTTATTTGAGAAAACAGCTTTACAGCTTTTTGGAAAAAATTTTGGAAGTCATCTCAACTCCTTCTTAAGATGTGCTATCCAACCACGTATTTTTGATATCTAGACTGCTTACACCATCTCCTAATGTCAGTACCTTTTTCTCTCGAGCACATACATTGAGACACTCACATTGATTAAGTATAAAATTTCTTACTTTAAGTCCAGACAGACAATAAGGCCCATGTTTATAAGAAATTAGCTATCCAACTTACATTACCATCACTTGGACTTAGAAACACAATGAAAGTTAATAGTTCTTTATTGTCGTTATATAAAGTATATAACTGTGTGAAACTGTTTACTTTGTTTTCTTTTGTTTCAGGACCAGGACTAGCATTCATTGCTTACCCTAAAGCTGTTACCATGATGCCTCTTTCTCCTCTGTGGGCAACTCTGTTCTTCATGATGCTCATCTTCCTTGGACTAGATAGTCAGGTATGAAATAAACACACTTCAAATACTTTGAAGTTCCTTGTATGTGTGTGTCATCATCCTTGATTTAAACAGCATTTATCTTCACGGAAAAATGAATTCTTGACTTAATTCCTTGCCTAAAACCATTGATTCAAGTTTATTATTTTGAATTTCATTTATGTGACAATAGAGATTCTGTTATTATTTACCATTGTTTCAGCCTCAATACAGCTTTATGTAGTCTATATTTGGGCATTCACTTTGGTGGCTCTTTTGGAAACCTTGCTCCAGAGCTGTGAGCCAGGCACTCGGGTCTCTGGTTTTCTGATGATTTTTAAAGGTAGCAGGAATGCTTTTTCCCTCCCTCATTAGATATCTTGGGCACTTAATAGCTTTATAGAATGTCTTTCTTCTGTAAAATGGAAAGAGCTTCACCTTGGAGAAACAGTTTCCTTAGAATGAAATTCTGCTGCAGTCCTACAAAAGTCGCACATCATTCAAGCAATGTTTGAAAGATTTAAGTTTTATGTAATCCAACTGCTACAGGGCAAATAAATTCCGAGATAATATTAGCGGCTTCAAATATTTGAATTTGGTGGTAGACTGGAAATCCATAGCTGTAGGCTTTTTAATTCTGAAATGATGTTCCTCTCAGTTTGAGCTTCTGTTTATAGTATCCTCAGGGATCATTCAGTTTTTCTCAATGATGAAAGCATAGAAGGATATTTGAAGTGTTTTGTAGCAAATCCAAATCCCAGGAGTAGATGAGATACATATTTTATTTGTACTTTCTTATCATTTGTTCTAGTTCGTGTGTGTTGAAAGCCTTGTGACAGCTGTTGTAGATATGTATCCAAAGATTTTCCGAAGGGGCTACAGAAGAGAACTGTTGATTCTTGGCCTTTCCATTGTGTCATATTTCATTGGTCTAATAATGTTAACTGAGGTAAGAGGTTCTTTGTTCAACACCTACAGACTAAAGGAAATGTGTGTCTTACAAGAATGACAGATAAAGCACGTGAATGTTTGCCATAGACAGAGTGCACTGTCAGAAATATGACTACAAAATCCTTGAGAGACTGTTATCAATTAATTTATAACATTTGAAACGTGTCCTCAGTTTTATTCCTAAACTCAGTTTTTTGAGTTTAGGAAATATCTTAGCTGAATTTATCTGGCCAAGGAAATTCCATCTGCTTTGTACCAGCCAACCGCATATACTGATGATGATTTCAGCTGACTTACTCTGGGCAGACCAATCTGAAGACAATAAAATGTTAGATGAAAAAATTAGTAAAGATGATGAAGTGAAAAAAAAGCTTAAAATGTGATTGATTTTTATATCATCAGGCCAACCCCATCAGTAAAGTCCATTTCTGAGCAGAAACTGATTTGATAAGAGAAAAAAAAAAAAAAAAATTTTTTTTTTTCAAACAAATCAAACTCTGGGATCTTTTGCTGCTTTTGTAGGATTTTAGTCCTGCTGCTCAGTGCTACCTTTAGAGAGTGACTTGAATAAACAGTCGTCTTCTTTTTTGTTTTAGCTTCTCAAAACTTTGACAATACAGGCAGAGTCCATACTCTCCTCTGCTCATGTTTTTTCACTTGCTCAGACATCAGAGCCTCCCTGCACTAGGGAGAGAAGTGAACAAGTGTTGCAAGTCTGATGAGCTGTGGAGTTAAATGCCAGAGGAACGTGTGTCTGGAGAACCCTGGCTGTCTTAACTGTGAAAGTCGACTATGCGTCTCTTGTCCAGCAGTATCAGGCAGGGTTTCCCAGAGAAGCAGCTTCCCAGGGCTTATCAACTCATCTGGTGACACTTACATTCCTTCTGCAGAGATCCATGGTCCTTGCACCATGTACTTTTCAGTTTGCTTTGTTGCTGAAGAAGAACAAATTTCATCCATACCATGGGAGAAAAATGGAGACTAGGACAAAATGAAATTTGTTGTTGCTTGCTTTCTTTTTTTCTTTCTTGTTGAAGTGACATTTTATACCAGTCTACTCAGATGTCTTTCTCAAAAGAGACCTGACCCTCTGCAGTTGAACAGAAGTTACACAGACCTCAGCCTGAAGGAGCTGAAAACTCACCACAAGAAAGTTTATTAATTTTATTCAGAAGTAAAGGGCTCATTCAAAAAAGAAGATGGTGACTATTGGTGTTAAATGATGCAGTGGCTGAAATGAGATTTATTTCAATTGAAATGGTCTGTGAATCTCATTATTATTTCAGTGTTGAATGCATATGGGATAAGAGATTAAGTATCTTGCATGTAGATTGGTATAATATTATTCGTATAATATTAGTCAGGTTTTCCATAATGTTATTAATTTGACTTTATAGTTTTTCTTCTCGTCTTGCCTGGAGGCAAAGACTCTAGAAAGTCAGCCAGTTCTCTGAGCACCTCTGATTAAGAATGAGAAAAAATACAGGAAATGAAGAAAATAATGGTGTTTTTGATAGATGTGACAATTTAAATAATTAAGCTGTATTCAAGTAATAAGGAAGAGGAAGACTGTCACATAGGAGTAACTGAGACTGCTTGAATCACGGGACCTAGGAAGTACAGCTCCACAGTGCACTGTGCTCCAGCACCCAACAGCCTGCTGCACAATGTAGTGATTAGGAATACTGATAAAACCAAGACAAACATGTCTTGGTTGAGCATGTATACCTTTTTTCATGCTAATTTGTGCTGTGGTACTACATAATGCAGAAAATTATAGGACCATTGATAACCAAGTGCACACTGTGTATGGATTCTGTGCTCACTGAAGATACTGCTTGGTTTTGGCTGCTCTGATTTTTGGAAATGCAATGATGGTTATTTTAAAATAATTTGAAAAAGCAAATTTTTAATTGTTAGAAAAAAACCATTAACGATAAAAAGCTTGCTTGAGTCAGGATGTTTATTATTTCATGCTTTATCACTTAATATAGACTCGTGTAATTAATGCAGCCGAAAGTCTGAGTTATATTCAAATTACTTGTTTTGCAGTCTCTGCCACTGGAGATTCTAGTAGCAATAGATTTTGCCTTCTTTCCCAGCACTTTAACTTGTTTATGTATTAGTGGTACAGACATAAAAACAAACAAAACCCTATTTCTACTCTGATCTGGAAATCAAAATCTCCTGCATTCATCTATCACATTTTGTGTGATAACAAGTGAAATTGAAGAAAAAAGGTATGGAGGTGGATAGCATTTCAGAAACAAGTGCAACGTAGTTCTCTTTGTACACTATTTACTACCTTAAAGCAAATGTGCAGCATTCAGCTGGCATAGGGAACAATCTGAAGTGCTTGAAACAAGAGGTCGTTCACAAAAATCAGTGAAAAATGCATATTCTTTTTTCAGGAAGGAACCCACTTTGACAGGAAGATTGCCAGATAACCAACAGACTGGTTGTGAAATTAAATACATATTTGTTATGAATTATTCATACCATTGCCAACATGACACTTCATTTTGTTTTTTTTGTTTGTGTTTTTTTTTGTCCTCTTTCTGTATCTGTCTTGCAGGGTGGAATGTACGTCTTTCAGTTATTCGACTCCTATGCAGCTAGTGGCATGTGCCTTCTTTTTGTTGCCATATTTGAATGTGTCTGCATAGGCTGGGTTTATGGTGAGTCACTGAAAAATTGCTGCAGTTTTGAGTATTTATGAAGTTTTCTGTTTCCACAAGGAAAACAAACACATAGGCCATGTACGCTTGCAAAGCAGGGCCCTTTACATTCCCATGCTTTCTCCTGGATTTTTTTCTTGCCCTTTCCTGGGACTGACCTTCACTTTCCACTAGCTGCCTTAGAAAGAAATAAGTCCTTCTTCTCTCACAAAATGTCTGTGCAGGCCACGTTCCTTTCTACATCTGACACTCACAGATAAATCCACTTCAAGTTCATACCTCATTAACACAAAAGGGACGTAGTAGTGTTCCTCACTCTGCTGCTTCTGTCAGCAAAGTCAGGAGAAAACCAGCACAGATCCAGGTATGTTCATGGCACTTCTTCAAGCATTTCTTTGCATACAAAAGACTCAGAATGTTATTTTGTAAAGCATATATGAATTTCAGATCTCGTGTGTCGTGAGCTAATTAAGGATTCATGCATGAGCTTGTAGGAAATGTACTTTTCAGCTTGGGCTACTCAAACTGTTACTGACAGAAGTCATTCTTGTCTGACAGCTTGCCCACTACTGCTCTCTGTTGCTATTTGTCAGACATGTATGTAGGCAGCAATCCCTGCCAGAAGCATGGAACAAAAAACAGTTGTATGTGTGAGACAAAGAGATAGCAGCCTCAATTTCTGAAGCTTTGACAGAACCCACATTTTTGTCTGTTCACTTTTAAATGCTGAGCTCTGTAACCTTGTGCATGTACATTCTACATCATCTTTTGCTTTGCTTTTTTGGGCAGGCAGCAATCGCTTTTATGATAACATTGAGGATATGATTGGGTATAAACCATTGTCATTGATTAAGTGGTGCTGGATGGTCTTAACTCCAGGTATTTGTGCAGTAAGTATAGAATATCTGAGCAACTTGTTTTAGATGCAAGGGATATTTTGTGTGTAGTTTTGGAATTTTATTGCTGTTAATAGTTCAACAGTTGAGAAAAATACCTATTGATTTGCAGTGTATGTTTTAATGCAAAAACTATAGAATCTTTAAAAATTGTTAAATTTATGTGTTCTGTGAATTGTTAGAAATCTTTGTATATACAGTAATAGGAAGAGATAAACTCAGAGGCCTAAGTGAACGTTTGCCAATATAAGAGAGATTTTTCTTCAGTGCTTCGGTAATACACTCTGTACCTACCAAGCATAACTCAAACTCCTCCAGACTTGTGTAGGTTTCCCTGTCACTCCCCCCTCCTGTTTCCTCCCCTCTCTTTGGGTGATTAGACATATTCCAAAGAAGTCTGCACATTTTTCCTTCTAGCTTAGATAGTAGAATAAACAAAAGATACGATTCATATGCATGAAGAAGGGGAAGGAGGAAGCTGAAAGTACAGCACTGTGCTTTGGCTACATAAAAGAGACAAAATTACAAAAGATGCATGATCAAGTTGCCCATAAACGTGATCCACAAGATTTTGAATATTAGATACTAAAACTTCTCAGTTTTCCCGTAACAAAGTGATAGCAAGCACAGACATTAGAACACCTGAAGATCCAGGCTCATTGAGCTCAACCATTTTCAAGGTTGTGAAAATTCCTGTCTATTTTTCTCCGACTCAGAAATGCAGAAAATGTCACTTGCTCTTGTACACTCTTGTTGTGACTTTGGAGTAAACACATGGCAACTTTCTGTATTATGTAAACGTAGGAAGTCTAAACTGCTTAATTATACACTGGTTTAATTTATACAAATATATTAGAGCTTCTGAGAGGATGAAAGATTTGGCCTGCAGAACTGCAGTTATGACAGCAGATTAAGGCAACTTTGACAACTGTGGCTTTCATTTTTCATCATGACAGGTGGGAGAGTGTCACCTAATCACAGCTGGTTCATGGTAGCAAAACTTAATCTTTCCTGCCCAGGTACTGTTCGCCATCAAAATGCAGGTTTTATTGTCACTGAGTGGTAAATAGGATTAAAACTTGAAAGGTTGTTAATTTCAGTGCAAGGATCTGAGACACATGATTTCAGATGTACATAGAAGAATGTATTGCTGTGTTATTTGTTTTTTGGTTGTTTTTTTTTTTTCTTTTTCTGACTGTAAAGCTCTGCTTCCTACCCTTAGGTAGATTGGCCTTGCCTAAACACACAATCATTTTCTTGTTAGACAGGCAGTGCTATTTGAAATACTGCTAATATTTTTCTCTGCTTATTTCAGGGAATCTTCATTTTTTTCCTGGTGAAATACAAGCCTTTGAAGTATAACAATGTATATACATATCCTGACTGGGGCTATGGCATAGGGTGGCTGATGGCGCTCTCTTCCATGATTTGTATCCCTTTGTGGATCTGCATTAAGTTCTGGAAGGCAGAAGGCACTTTCATAGAGGTGAGATTTTCAGTTTAGCAATACTGACAAAGAAGTTGGAATGGAAGTCTTGCTTGCGTAAGACTATGCACAGTTTCATCAGAAAATCAATGCCTTTGTTTCAGGTAGGCTCCAAATATGTTTTCCAATGGTATTTGACTCTTGCAGCCTGGCACTGTCTTTGGTGGAAAGAAGCATCTGTAGTCTCTCTGTTTTCATTGGAATTTCCACACTGCTTTTCTGCCTTCACTGGCTTGAGCCTGTAGTAGCTAACCAGTACTCTAATCTGCTGTTCCTTTTCCTGCTGAATTTGAAATTTAAAATGTCTATAACATTATCTAAATCAAGAAGGTTTATATCAGCCTTTCATTCAAGTCTTTCCATGATTTTGATAATTGATGTTTGTGTCCCAAGGATTTTCGTCCAGGAGCTGGTTAGCAAACACTCACATAGGTTTGCTGGACACTTTCTCCAATTACAGCTCTCTAAGTGAGAAATAGAGGCAAAAATAAATACTCAGTACAATTTACTAAGATTTGGTATCAGGCTATCTCAGGTCTAGACTAAGATTATTAAATTTAAGAAAATTTCTCAAAAGACAGTGAAGATGCCTATGATCAAAGAAACAAGGACATAAATCTTTTTAGCTTTTGGGGATTTCTCATATTCCAGAAGAAGATGGCTCTGTCATCTTGGTGAGAGGACAAGGGGAAATGGCCCCAGGTTGCGCCAGGAGAAGTTTAGATAGTTTAGAAGTTTAGTTTAGAAGTTGTACATCAGGAAAAACTTTACAGAAGGGTTGTTAAGCACTGGAATAGGCTTCCCAGGGAGGTGGTTGAGTCACCATCCCTGGATGTGTTTAAAAACCATCCGGATGGCGTGTTCAGGGACGTGACTTTGTGGTGGGTGTTAGAGTTAGGGTACTATGGTTGAGTTGAGGTTGGACTTGATGACCTTGAAGGTCTTTTCCAACCTGAACAATGTTATGATTCTATCTACAGTTCCTTAGATAATACACAATAAAAGTAGGTATCTCACTAGTACCTTCTTATGTTGATGATCTCTAGAGGTCCCTACCAACCCCTGTGAATCTATGAAACAGGCTATAGCCAGAGCATTGTTCTGAATTTACTCATGAAGGAGACTGTAACTGAAAGTTAGCATGAAAATTCTCTTTTACTTTGTCTTCACCTTCCTTCTCTATCGTTTGCACTGGTGTGATGTGAAAAGAATTGCAATGCAGTCTTGTGGACAAGTCACGAGAAGTGAGACTTCCAAGAAAAGACAGCTTTAAAGTCAATGTTTGAGAAATACTGTGAGCAGGAAAAAGGTAATGATTTCCATTTTCTTGCATTCTCTAGAAATTCAGGAAGTTGATTACACCTAGCTCGGATCTGAAGATGAGAGGGAAACTTGGAGGAAGATGCTACATTGCAGCAATAAATGACTGCGATGCCAAACTGAAAGGAGATGGCACCATTTCAGCCATTACGGAAAAGGAGACACATTTCTGAAAGAACTCTTTTTTTTTTCTTTTTTTTTCTTTTTTTTTTTTTTTTTTTTTTTTGTATAAAAATAAATAAATTCACTTAATTATAGAAGCTGGCTTGTTTTGCACAAAATTTTATTAACCAGTTAATTTTAAAGTGCAAATTGTATACTTGTTTAAAAGTGATTTTTTAAAAATTACTATATAAGTAATAAGATTATGTAAAAGAAAAAGAAATAGTATTATATGATATGTTAGTAATGACTTCTTGTAATATGGTAATTTCAGTAAATGCTTTTTAGAAATTAGAGAGACCTGTATAATGGGCTGTAAAGCTTTTCTACTCTGATTTCTGGCAGGTGTGACGTTGTATAGCTATATGCATTCTAATCTCCAGGTATTTCAGACCATTTCAGCTTTTAATGTATGTATATAAAAAGTACCAGAATGTCCCGTTGTTTATATTGGAAGAAGCTGAGGATATGTTGCTACATTATTTAACACACATGTTAAATGCCGTTACCTTAGAGCTGTCTAAAGTGGGCTGTACCCAAAGTCAACTGAAACCAGCAGGAGCTTTTCCAACTGAGATCAGTGGCTTTTGCACCACGCCGTCTATGATTCAGCCTTTCTTCTCGGCCAGCACAGCTGCAAGACTGAGTTTTGCACCTAACAAAGCTCCTCTTTCAGGGCAAGTTTTGTGAAGCTTGGAAGCACCGCCTCGACTGCTTTTCCTGCCTTCCCTCCATGTTCCATCTCTTTCCAACAGGCCTGAAAATGTTGTGAGATAGCCCCACTTCCGAGTCACTGTTCTTTGTTGGGTTTTTTTCTGGAGATTGGATTAAGAATGTGTATTTTTTAAGAGTTATAAATTTTTCTTTTCTTGCAAGTTAATGCCCTCTGAGATGACATGTACTGCTTCAGAAGACTTCTAAAGCTTTTTCATTTTCTTTAGTGGCTGGGTAGCCAGTACTTCATTTTGGTTGACACTTCCCATCCCCTGAAGTGAAATGTGTTTATGCTTGTACAACAGGAGGAGGTCAGGGTCTCTCTATGTAGAGAGATATGCAGAGATGTTCTAAGGAAAAAAAAGATCAGGTTTAGAGCTCTCCATACCTTGGCCTCTGTCTCTTCAAACATTTGGCAGTCTGTCTGTTCAATCCCCTTAAAAGAAATCAGGGATCCTGTAATCGTGATGTGTAGCACTGCATGGCTGTTCTGATTTTCCAGATACTTTCTAAAAACTCTCAGATTAGGCACTGATTTTTTACTCTGAATGGTATTGAGGCCTGCACTGAAGTTAGAGTAGCAATTTATTTTGTGGAACACCAGAGTAATTGGTCCTTAATTTTTACCAGAGTTCCAGGAAGTAATTTGTACACTGTGCAGATGTAGGAATTAGGGCTGGGAAGTTGTTACTTCTTTGTTTCACAAAGGCAATAGTAGAGCTTTCTGATATGAAGCCTTTTTATTCAATCGGCTGTATTAACTTACTCCCTCTGATTGAAAACAGATTTTATACGAATCCAACTGATGGAATTTTACCATGAGGTAAGCAAATGCTTGCTTCAAGTATCAAAATCTGTGGGTAGACTCTTGGTTCTCTCTTTTTTTTTCCCTTCTGCCAATATTCCAAAATGTTTTTTTCTGGACAATTAATTCTTTTCCCATCCTGTTTTTCATTTAATGGCTGGATGATAAACCTGTGGAGGAATACTGCACAGTATTCAGTGGGGAAAGACAAACAGCCTAAGAGAACGCTGACAAAATGTCATGAAATCTGCTGTCCTCTCTGCAATTCAAGATCAGCAAACCTCAGATACCAACATATGAATTTATTGGAAAAAAAAGTGTCTACTGGCGCTTTAGTAGTGAAAACAGTTCACTGGAAGTCATTAGGCACACCTTAATATTACGTGGAGCTGTATAAGTAGGCAAAATTTCATTATGATCTCGATACCATACCTGTTAAAAAAGCATCTTTCATAGAATCACTGTCTCAAGTGACAGCATTAATTGGTCTATTTTGTTTCACTTCATTTTATTTGTATTTTTGGTGTCTAAAAACTTTCCTACCGCAATTCCACTTCAAACATTCAAAGTCTTGCTTGAATTTGCATGTCTCTATCACTAGGTGCTTAGTAAAGGACATGTTGAAGGAGCCAGCCTTCATAATAGTGCAAAGCCATTATCTTGTGAATGTTGGGCTAGCTCAGGGGGTCTCTTGAGATTGGCATACAGAACTGGAGGTGACTAATGAAAATCACTCTCAGTTGGGAAATTATATATGATAAAGAGAAATGTTCCCAAAACTGAAACTCTAGATTGAGTTATGTAGCTGTAGAAAATAAAATGACATGACTGCAAGCTGAAAACAGTTCCACTCCAGAATCTAGTATTTTTTTTCTTATGTCCAAGTAAGTGACAAATATTTCTAACTTGGTGTTCCTTTCTAGTTTTTCTCTCCACCCAGAACCTAAGACCCCAAAACCATAGATGAGCCCTGTGATGTAAATATCAACCCATTTTCAGTGAAGGATGAGCAAATGTAGCTGCACTATTAGGTCGTGCTTGGCCTTTCGCTGTGATTTCAATGAAGTTATTTTTATGAATGTTTACAGTAAAATGTGCCAATAGGTGGAATCCACACTGGTTAACTGGGCCACCCATTAGGTTCAAAAGGAAAATCTCAGACAAATCAAGATTACCCTTTAAATCATAACACATGTTGCTGTAGCAGAAAAAAAATACAAACCCTGACTTGTGCATTTTGGCTTGTCAGTGTACCTTGAACTGTAGTATTCATCCAAATATCTGCACAGGAACTGTGTGCTTTGTATGGAATAGGCTTCCTGTTCTGCTGCTATGAACCATTTCACTGCTAGCTTTATACACATACATGTGGTTTGACATGGTCTAAAGCATTATACTGTATTGCTAATATGCTGTGCTTGTAAATGTGTGCATTTAATATCTGACTTGTTTAACACTTTACTGATATTTTTAAAAATATATTTCTTTTTTTGGGAGGGTGGCTGTGGGAGGGCAAATTTCCTAGTAATACTGTGATTATTATTATTTTTGTTTTTGAAACAATATGAAGGTGGAAAATGCAGAAAACAACTATATTGTGATGATTTTTTTATGTGTTAGAAACAGTATTGCCCTTTTCTGAAGTATCCACAGTATTATTTAAAATAATTCAATAAAAATCAGTAACGTCCAAGGTTTATGTAACATTTTGATCATAGAAAGATTCTTTTGGTTTTCAAGGGCACAAGATTTCATATGTTTTTGTTTTTAAAAATTAAAGAAAATGGGCAAAATTTATTCTGTGTGTTTTAGTTTATATCTTTGTATTTTATATCACCCTTACCTGACAAATGAAATAAGCACAACTATATTCTTAGAGCAGAAATGTGTCCCTCAATTTTAAATTGGGAATTTATCAATGAGGAAATTAAGTCATTTGAGGTCATGCAATAAATCTGTGGCTGAAACAAACTGAACTGAAGTATCCAGATCTCACAAGTTAATGTCTCTTTTACTTATCATATCCATGTTGCCATGGAAAAGGGCAGATCAGCCACTACTTTCTGAATTCTCCCATACTTTCCCCCTTGTGACTGCATTTTTCTGGGCCCTGCTTTTTCAGCATTGTTAGAAAAGCCATGGAAAGAGCCAGCTCAGGAACCAATCTAGCTGAAACCTTACCCAATAAAAACACACATTTAGCTCTTTGTAACTCTCCATAATGTTTATTACCTGGCTATACAAATATTTGTGCTGAAGGGAGGTACTGCTGCAAGATAAATACCATCTTCCAACTGCTGCATATGTTATGGATTGAAGTGATCAAAGGTGAGAATTTGAGGGAAGAGTAGCAGATCTCTTAATTTTAAAATCTGTTCCTTCTGCTTTTTTGACCTTTGCTCACTGAGAGCTGCAACCAGTGCCAGCCATGTCTAGCACTCCTTCAGCACATCTGAATTCCAGTCACAGTCACACCTGTTTTGTTTGCTGGCCCTGCTCACACAGACTGTACAATGCTCTGCTTGGGCTTTCAAGCTAATTTTATGCATCTGTGACCTTCAACTGCCTTGACCATCACCTGTGTTTGTCCACCCTGTGAAAAGCATTGCCTTGAGCTTTGTTGTTGATACCAGCAAACAGAAATACATGTGTTGTCGTAAGTGGAAAAAAAAACAAAACAAAACAAAAACAAAACAAGAGAAGCATAAAGGCAGCTGAGAGTCCCTTGCTGTAGATGGATGGCGACAATATTTGGGATATGCTTTCAGCTTCTATCAGCTTGCTATTGATGTGTTCAGCCAGCCAACTCCCAGTACTTACTACAAGCGGCACAGCATCCTTTCCTAAACTTTATTGTAAAACAATCTATCAGGAAATCTGAGAGCTCTGGCTGATCTCTTTTTACTTAATTGATAACAGCCATCATAGTACACTCAGATGAATCATTCTTCTCTTCTTCCCAAAGGGCTAAAAACTGCAGTTAAGCCATGCCATGCTCAGAAGAGCAAACCGCAGTTACTCAGGCAGACACCTCCAGGGCCAATTCTAAGTTTGGTTGCAGCTAGTGACGTGGAATTTTGCTGTGCTCTGATCAGCACTGGCATCAGGAAGTCCTGGCATCCCATGCACAAGCGAGAGGTAGAAATGATTAAGACAACACAAACCATTTAAAATGGATGCAGTCAAGACATTGCACCACTTGTGCTTTCACAATCTTTATGCATTGGGAAGAGGTATAATGTCATTATTTGTACACAGCGGGAGACATCAGGGCAGTTTATGTGTTTATATCCTTCCATCTTTGAATCAACACAACTGGGCTTGTCAGCAGGAGCAAATTTTGTTGGGTAGTTAGTGATCAGAGGCTGCTGCCAAGCACCATGCTGTGCTGAGCTCTGTTTCAGTGGGGATGACAAAACACTGTTACTCTTTCTAACCAAGCCCTACTCTCAGCTTGCCCCCAAATTAATTCAGAAGAACAAATGCATGAAC